CCATGTCAGTGTCACTTCTTCAACCAGGCAGGTGCTCCTTCAGTTGTAGATCATTCACACTGGAGTTACAAATATTACCTTATATCCTTAATCTCCTTCTGTCTGTATTATGCATTTATGACCACTAAATTCTTTCCCAAACATTTTGACTGGATGCTCCGATTTGCGATCCCCTTGTCGAGCCTGACGTTTTCTAAAATGTTTACACCTGGACCACGCGGTTTTTGGCGTGGAATCATTCGCTACTAATAGGTCGCGGAAACCAACCCTCGATACTCTTCAGGACACCTTCATGTGTCCCATTCTGAACAGTTTTCGATCGGCTTTATAGTCCATATTATTCCTCCGCTCTCCTCGGCATACGTGTCCATCGTCATTGATAAAAAGTAAGACTGAATAGGATCTGAACGAATAGCTTCCCTGCCTTTAGGCGTTGATCGTGCCAACTGCCGCCGACATAGACTGGCTGTGTGTGACCTGATCCATTGTCATGATTGGTCAAAGAAAAGCTATTTCGCAGGCATGTCAGTGCCACCTCTTCACCCTGACGAGTTATCGCTCAGTTGTAAGCCATTCAAACTGGAGCTGTATGTACTCAATCTCCTTCTGTCTGTATTACGCATTTATATAATCATTCGCAATTAATAGGCTGTGGACACAAGCTCTGGATACTTGTCAGGAAACCTTCATGTGGCCCATTCTGAGCAGTTTTTGTCGGCTGTATAGTCAATGTTATTCCCCTATTGTTCCTGTCAACGAAAGTGAGACTGAATAGGGTCTCAACAAGTGGGATTGCCTGCGGCCAACGCCTCTGACGACTGGGCCACGGGCCCGTTGTCCTGTCGGTTTCAGTCGGGATTATACAATAAAGTAGCATTCTGCCTATATCATGCGCCGCTGTGCGGCTGATGGTTGGGATCGAAAGAGAAAGAGCCCCTAAGGCACGACGGAACGAGTACGTTCCGTAAGAATGATCGTTGCACCCCTCTATTATTGTATAATGTCGATCAAAACGGACCCGACAACAGGCCCGTGGCCCAATGTTTAGACAAGTTGGTCAAATGATTGCTTCACAGGTAACGTAATTAACTGTGAAGTAAATCACCGTAAATGTTACTTTACCATTGCATATTTGCCTGCTGGCCACTAAACTGCACAGTAATACCTTACAAACACCCGACAAATTGATGAAACATGCCCCGCTGACGTCATGTGGAGTTGCCTGGGGCCTGACCAGCTCTTGTGCGTCATGCGTAGGCTGGCTGTTGCTCTTATTTTGAGTATGAAATTGGAAGAAGACGTGATGTTCTACCGAATAAGTAAAAGAATGAATATTTTTATGTATATTTTCTATGAAATATAATTGAATTTTCAAGGGCAGCGAAAATCAATGAGAAAATTGTATGCTGCATAAGTAGTCATTTTTTGCAGAGTATGGGTCTTGCATGCAGCCGAAAATAAGTTCTTTCGAAAGCCGCCACCCTGCTGCATCTTGATAAGTTTTACAACATCACTTAATTTATCATTTCGAAACGAGAACGCATTTCGAAATGTTGATTAACATTTCATGCGTCAGCACATCTACTGTACCTCGCAAACATCGGACAGTCAATCGTGTGATGTCATCGCGTGTTACGTTTTCAATCGCTCAAAATGTACAAGACATTCCTGATGATTATGAGCGTAAAAGAGATTTCTGCAGCCGAATGTCGCATTGTTTGGATGTCACCATAGGACTGATAAGTCCTGCGTACAGTATAAACTGCCTGTGTATTGCATCGGGGGAGAGGTAAATCTGAGGGCGACCAGTAACGGGATCTAGGTAAATTTCCTACTCAGTATTGTATGAATGGGGAATGCGGACTTGGTGGTGTATAGATAAAGTTATTTGTTTAGGCAGTCAGCCCCCGACCACGTGAATGTCTATCGCTACATGTCAATAAGCACTTTTCCGGAAATCGATAATTGTGTCAAGTGGCCTTAACACAGCAACTGTCCCCTTCTTAGTTACTACTGTAATTTACGAGCTGAAAATTACCTAACCTCAGGAACCCCATATTATTTTGCGCACACAAACAAGCATTCTTGGCAGAATGTTTGTGAACTATTACTTAAATCGTTTCGTGACAACTTGCTTAGAGTTTCGCACCTCTTCAGTCGCATAATCCACGAGGAGGTTTGGTGACGGCCCAAATGTCTCGTCACTTCTGTCTCATAAACGTAGTTGTGTCTGCACTCTATACAAAAGAGTCGAAGCACACTGCAGCACGCCAGAAGATAAAAGGGCCGAACGATTGTACCTTGTGAGCCTATTTGTAGCCACGGGTTATTCCAGACATTTCATTGAGAGAAGCAGACGTTGGGCTCCCAGACAACGGCCAAATGAGCAGCAACCCGAGGTCTGGAGGGCCATTGCATACGTTAGAAGGGTCTCTGAAGCGGTCTCGCGACTGTTACAACGCACCAGAATAGACATAGCCTGTCGACCCCAGGCAAAACGTCGACGCCGCCTGATGCAGCCTAAGAATCCAATGCCACCCGCTAAAACCTCAGCAGTCATCTACAAAATACATTCCAATGGGGGCGACTGCAGGTATGTTGGAGAAATCGGGCGAAAATTGCAAACTCGCCTACAACAGCAAAAATCGATCACTCGGAGGTTAGACCCTAACTCACAAGAAGCAACACACGTTGGAAAAAAACAGGACATACTTATGACCTGCAGAGGGCTACCAACTTAGCCCGAGGCAATACAAAAGCAAAACGGCTAACTCACGAGGCGTGGTTCTCCGATGCTCACTCTATCAACAGGCGTCTGAATCGTCCTGCAGCTTAAAAACTCCTACGTCATTACGATCGTAGAGCTCAGGAACAAACAATCCCACCGGACTTAAGAAGACCTACGGAGGTATTTGGACGCGGATTTTAATCGGTGAGGAATAACAAGAACCGCCAGACAGACCGCCCGACAAAGGTTCAAAATAGAACAGCGGAGAAATATGTTTAATTCGATTGCAAGCGACAAATTCATTTACACTCAAAAATGCAAATTATTTTAAATTGTTTCATTTGGTTCGAACGATTTGTCAGTTAATAAGAAACGCGAATACCATAGAGCTGGCCATTTTGAAGTTGTATTTGATTGAAGACAAAACACAAATATTTAAATGTCCCCAAAGTTCTACATCATTTTGCGATTGTCCTCAAAATATTTGTCAGGTTATGAAGATTCTAGATTTGGTCATACAAAAGATTGCCTTTTGGTCGCATCACTGTTTCGCGCAGACATTAGCACAAACACAATGATATTTGCCGGTGGAACTACTGTCTGGGAATTTAGCTGCTACCTTCAATCTCAGTACTGTGAATGATGCTGTAACTTTCCACGAGCTGCACTGAGTCGTTTAAATGAAATGAATACTGTCCTCGTCTGAGATTGTTATTAAGTAACTGCGTGTCGATGCCTTCCCTCTTTACAGACGATCTCCATCTTGCCACTCGCCACAACTCTCTTTTCCCACTCCACCTCGCTATTATTTCACGAGCCTCTCCTGTAGTTGGCGGCAGCAAATCTTTCCCCACGAGTTTTTAGCCGGCATATCAGTGTCCCCTCCCCCTACATTCATATAGGTCTACCTCCTGTTATAACTTAACCTACTTGTTTCATTAACTATTAACAGTTTCCCTCTGCTCCTATTAGCCATTTATGGTCGCTGAATCCTTCAAATCTTTCGCGTACATGATTGTATTGCCATGTTAACGCCTCTATCCGGATCGGCCTTCATCAGGACTTATTTCAGTGCTTCGCTGACTCGCTGTCCGCTTTCATCAGACGCGCTTTTGCCGATCTTATGTGAATGCATGATGTAGGTAGTAGTGAAAGTGATAATCAGTGGCATCCAGCGGTCTCATGTGAATTTTACTGTTGTGTGAGTAGGGACTGACATTCCTTCGTCGCAAGCTCGACATAAGTACTGCCAAAACTGTCAGAGGTGTGGTCGCGCGTGCCAACTGTATCGCCACCGTCTTCCTGGCTTACGATCTGTTCTGACCTCGGAGTAAATAGCTGAGGAGTTTTCTGTACAGGTTCAATGTGTTTACTTGAGCAGGATACTAACGGCTTCAGAAGACCAACAGCGAGTATCCAGCAGCTGTCAAAGTACAATTAAATATTATATCTAAATACTCCCTGACGATGATCCGCCGGATGGATGATTTCTCAACATTGTGCTGCTTTCTGATCGTGGATATTAAAATTTGTTTCCTTTGCTCTCAGCTAGTGCACACGGCTGTATTTATACTTGCGTCCGGCTACTATTCCGAATCGCATTGACTAATTCAGTCGTATTTTATTATCTTTCGCCTTCCTGATTTCGTGTCCACTGTCCTTCCAAAAGAGGACCTACTCTTTCGGTAAATTTAAATGGGTCTGATGCACTGAATATGAAGTTGGATCAACATCACTTTCTACTCCATACATGTTAGTCCCTTGCAGTCTGTCATTCATTCTTCAACCGGCTGTCTCTGAAGGAGGGCGTTATCAATGAGACTGCACTCAGAAGGCATTGCGATCTGCCAAGCATATTGGGAGGAGAATTTAATTGTTCCCCACTTTCGTAAGTCTGCGAGTCATGTGCTTTAACGCACTAAACTTTTTTGAGGCGGCTGCCTGGTCCCGTGGCCTCCTGCCGTGTGCAGTCGCTGAGGTTACAAAAAAGCCTCTGTCTGCGCCTGTCACCTACGCGTTGGTATCTCGTTCCACATTGACTGGACTGCACTGCAAATGCGGATCTCTCATTAGTGAAAGTTTACATGCCGGCATGCGACTGTGAGGAAAGCGTAGCGGTGTAAGGAGTGCGGGGGTGTTCAGCTGTGGGTCCACGTGATGGTCGTAATAGGTCACTCGTTTGCTTTCGGGTGCCGACTCCACCTATCGTCCGTTAACCGGCAACCAGCTCTTGCCTGTGACAACTCGAAGCTTGACTCTGCCTAGCGGCCACATGTCGGCAATGGCTCCTTTTGAACGTGGCCTTAATGGCACTCCCACCACAATGTGGGATCCGAGCCAGGCGTTGGCGGCACGCCTAGGTGCGGCTTCGGCCGTGCCAGCCTCCAATTTCTGTTCTGTTGGTCCAAAACCTGGTTATCTGTTGTGTGGACCAGGGGATGCGGAGTGGAGCGCCAAGATGAGGATAGATCCAGGTGATCCACCTACGGCCTCCCTCGTCTTCGGTCTTCTTGACTCTGTCTTGACACCGGGCTCAGGTGAGGGAGGAGAGAGTGTGGTAGATGCAGCACAAATCTACCGACACTATTAACCCCTAAACATGCCACTGTCCCAGCTCCCACCCTGCTTTGGGGCATACGGTGGACATCGGCGAACTCGACGTTCAAACTATCATGTGTGTGTGTTTGCTGGGGTGTAGGGGTGTCAGCGGTGGGTTCACGTGATGGTCGTAGTGGTCGCTCACTTGCTTGCAGGTAAGACTACGCCTAGCGTCCATTTGCTGACACCCAACTCTCACCTGTGGCTCCACGTAGCTGAGCTCTGCTCAATGGCCACACCCCCCGCAACCGCCCCGACCGGCGGACTAAACCAGGTAAGGGTATCCTTGCGCGTGCCTGCTCACACGGTATTGTGGTCTCCGCTGGCCGGATGGATCTTCGCGTCGACATCGTCGAGACGAGGCTCTGCCTGGACCATCGCAGTGATTTTTCAGGGAAGTGAATTTCCTTTGTTCCTTTTTTTGTCTGTTTAAGTTTCGTGTTGTATGCTGCTCCTGTTGCCTGCTCTCTATATGTTATTCCTTGCCTCTGTCTGTTAATAGCTAGATGAAAACTGTGCTTTATCTCGACTGATGTCATTCCTAACTTGTCGCACTCGCCTTCCTATTTGCCTGTTTAATTACTGCTGACTGTCGCTGTTGATGTCTGCTGCGACTGTTTTTCTGTATGTCATTCTATGGCTCTCTGCTAACAGTTAGGTGTTACTGTCACTTCTGCTTCTGACTAATGACTGTATTTGATTGTCCATTCCAGTTGTAAGTCCCGTAGCATACTGTTGGTGTGTTTGCCCTCTCCTACTTAACTCCACCACATCACCACCAAGGTCCCAGACTAACTCGGGTCGTTCACTCACTAACAAAAAGTCGTGGCCCATAGTGGAGACCGGCAGTCGTCTGGGATAACCGGGCAGCCCTATTTAGGGGGTGCGCTGCCTGCCCTCGCGAGGGAGAGGGGGCTAGAATAGGTGCCCAAAAATTGCTAAGAACAACGCTGTCTGTAGGCTCGCCGTGGCCGCAGACAAAACACACACGATCGAAACAGCCAAAACCGAAACAACAACAACAATCTCTCTTTCTTATCCAGCCTATTCTCCTTCCTCCCCTAGTCGTAGTTTTCGCCGCCGCAATCGCCAGACTGGCAGGGTGAGTCCGCTCACTCTGGCAACCAGGAATGTTCGTTCACTGTTAGACAATCCAAGGAGCAACCGACCGGAACGGAGGGCGGCGCTTGTGGCTCGGGAACTAGCGCGCTACAAGGTGGACATCGCCGCACTCAGCGAGACCCGATTCTCCGAACAAGGCCAACTGGAGGAGGTGGGTGCCGGTTACATCTTCTTTTGGAGTGGTCGGCCCAGGGCAGAGCGACAAGACGCGGGTGTCGCCTTCGCCACCCTGAACGATATCGTGGGACGACTGCCCAGTCTGCCGCAGGGCATCAACGATCGCCTGATGAGCCTCCGTCTGCCTCTCCGGGGTGGGGGCTAATTCGCCACCATTATCAGCGCCTACGCTCCGACGATGAGCAGCCCCGACGCCGCCGCAAGAGACAAATTATATGAGGACCTGCACGCCCTCTTGCGACTGTGTCGGGGGCGGACAAGTTGATTGACTTTGGTGACTTCAACGCCCGCGTCGGCACAGACCATACAGCCTGGGGAGGAGCGCTGGGTCCCCATGGTTTCGCGGCTCAAACGACAATGGTCTGCTGCTTCTCCGCACCTGCGCAGAACACCGGCTCATCCTGACGAACACGTTCTTCTGTCTGCTGGATCGACAGAAGGCCACCTGGAGGCATCCTCGGTCGCGTCAGTGGCACCTGCTGGACTATATCCTCGTCCAGAGGCGAGAACAGTGAGACGTGCTGGTGAAAAAGGCGATCGCGGGAGTTCACGGGTGGACCGACCATTGCCTCGTCATTTCGAAGATGCGTATTCGCCTACAGCCTCGCAGGAGACCACAAGGTAAGCGACTTTCCGGTAAGCTGAATATTTCGTTGTTGTCTTTGCCCGCACACCATCTGCATTTCAGCAATGAGCTAGCTCAACGGTTAGACAACCTTCCCACCGCGGCTGCCGACGTCTCCGCTGCCAAGAACGCCTCCGTGGAGAACCGCTGGTGTCAACTGCGAGACACGGTCTAGTCGACGGCGCTCGCCGTCCTCGGTCGCGCCCGCCGCCAACACCAGAACTGGTTCGACGACAACGACGCCGTCATCAGTAATCTGCTCGCTGAGAAGAACCGCCTACACAAAGCCTACGTAGACCGCCCTACTGATGCCAACAAAGCTGCTTTCTACCGCTGTCGCCGCCAGCATCAGCAACGACTGTGCGAGATGCAGGCAGCCTGGACTGCTCGTAAATCTGAGGAGATCAAGGCTACGCGGACAGCAACGAATGAAAGAACTTCTTCTCCGTGATCAAAGCTGTCTACGGACCGCCGCCGAAGGGAACTGCTCCTCTACTCAGCGCCTGCGGAGGCACCCTCCCGACTGAGAAGAAACAAAATCTACAGCGATGGACCGAGCATTTTCGAGGCGTGCTCAATTGCCCCTCCGCCATCTCTGACGCCGCCATCGACCGCCTGCCGCAAGTGGAGACCAACGTGGACCTCGACCTCCCGCCATCTCGCCCGGAGAACATCAGGGCCGTGCAGCAGCCCTCCAGCGGGAAAGCACCCGGATCGGTCGCGATTCCTGCTGAGGTCTACAAGCACGGAGGTCCCTAACTCATGGATCACCTGACTGCGCTCTTCCAGGGGATGTGGCGTCAAGGTGAAGTTCCGCAAGATTTCGAGGAGGCAACCACTGGGCATCTCCACAAGCGAAAAGGGAACAGCCAAGTCTGCGACAATCACCGCGGCATCTGCTTGCTGAACGTCGTCGGGAATGTCTTCGCTCGCATCCTCCTCAATCGTCTGAATAATCATCTGGAACAGGGTCTTCTGCCGGAAAGCCAATGCGGCTTCCGTCGCCATCGCTGGACCACAGATATGATCTTCGACGCCCGCAAACTACAGGAGAAGTGCCAGGAAATGCGGACCCACCTGTACTCTACCTTAGTGGACCTGACAAAATCCTTCGACACGGTGAATCTTGAAGGTTGTGAAAAATCATTCAGAAATTCGGCTGTCCGGAGCGATTCACTCAGATGGTGCATCAGCTGCACGACGGTATGATGGCGCGAGTCAAGGACAACGGAGCTGTCTCAGAGGCATTTGCAGTGACCAACGGAGTGAAGCAGGGATGCGTGCTGGCGCCAACCTCTTCAGTCTTATGTTCTTTGCCATGCTGATGAACGCCTACCGCGACGAACGCCCCGGGATCCGCATCGCCTACAGGACGGACGGTTACCTTCTGAATTAACGACGGATGCACTTCCAATCGCGCGTATCCACAACCACCGTTCACGAACTTCTCTTAGACGACGACTGCATCCTGAACACCACCTCGGAAGAGGAGATGCAACGGAGCATGGACCTGTTCTCCGCCGCCTGCGAGAATTTCGGTCTGGTCATCAACACGTAAAAGATGGTGGTGATGCATCAACCGCCACTCCCCCCAACGCGCCACAAATTAGAGTGAATGGAACCCAACAGCAAGTGGTGGATAACCTCCCGTTCCTGGGCAGCAACCTCCCCGTAACACCAAAATCGATGACGAAGTCGTCAACAGGATCTCGAAAGCCAGTCAAGCCTTCGGCCGTCTCCAAAGCACAGTTTGGGATCGTCATGGTTTGCGACTGAGCAAGAAGCTGAAGATGTACAAGGCCGTCATCCTGCCGACGCTGCTGAGACTTGGACGGTGTACACAAAGCAGACACGCTGTCTGAAACATTTCCACCTCACTTGTCTCCGTCGAATCCTGAGGCTGAACTGGCAGGACCGCATCCCCGACACTAATTTGCTGGAGCGGACGAGAAACCTCAGCATCTACACCATGCTGAGACAAATGCATCTGCGCTGGAGCGGCCACCTGATGCGCATGGACGACGAGCGACTTCCCAAACTTCTACGGAGACGTCGCGAGGAATTCTCGCCGTCAAGTAGGCCACATTCTTCGATACAAGGGTGCCCTGAAGGCCTCCCTGAAGCGCCTGCAAATCAACCCGACCAACGGGGAAGAGCTCGCCCGCGATCGCCCGACCTGGAGGAGAACAGTGAAGACGGACGTTGCTGTCTACGAAACCAACCGCATCGCCGCCGCCAAAGCGAAACGCGAAGCCAGCAAATCACAACTTCGCCCAGTCCGCAACGCCGACGCACAACCGCTACCAACGTGTCCTCGATGTCAACGGACATTCTGTGCTTGAATCGGACGTGTTGGACATCTTCGTATCAACTGTACCTCTCGGACAGCACCAACTGCCGTCCCTCCGCCCGCCTCTTCCTCGTCTTCTCTGCCGCCAACTACCTCTGGCCTTTCTTCTGAACCACCACTTCCATCCTCCTCCTCCTCCTCCTCCACCACCACCACCACAACCTCCATCTCCTACTTAACCACTGTCCCAACGACGGCCGCTCAGGCGGGCGTCTCGCACATCACCAACCCTGACACAACAACTGACACCACCCCCACTTCCTCTGACTCCAGCGATGAGGATCAGAACTACATCTGCCCTCGCTGCGACCGCATCTTCACCTCACACATCGGCCTGGTCGGTCACTTGCGAATCCATCGCACAAACACTGCCGAAGCAGTGTCTGGAGCAGCAACCTACACCCACCGCACTCCCCTCCACTGCCCACACTAACCTCGCACCTTCACGCATCGTATGGCTACACCACACCATCACACCTTACCCCTTCTGCTGCATGTGTGGTCCGAGTCTGAGACTGCAAATGTGCACTAACCACTGTGGCTTGGAAGGCCGTCTACTGACGGTCAAATCAGCCCACGCAGTCTGCCCAGTTGTGTGCGTTTGTGTGTTTTGACGGACTGATGGGTTGAGATCCAGGCTGTCACGGATCCGTCTTAACCGGTCTGTGACCCCCTCACGGGTGTGTGTGTGTAATTCCTCAGTCGATGACTGGCTGGTCACTCAGGATTTGAAGAGTGATGGCTCTGGCTAAGCGTGGGACTGCGTGTCTCCCTTCTGGGCCTTAGGGATTGTGAGCTTCTGGTATGTCAGTATTCAGCAAACCGTGGCCATCGCAGTCTGGTGCACGTTAGCTGTACTCTGACACCTGATTCCCTGCCTGCAGAAGCGCTTACGTTCCCTCTTGGTATACAAGTCGTTTGGATGGCTGCCCAGTAGTCCTCTCCTCTGCGACGCATTGCTTTTGGTTACAATCCGGGTTAAGTTTTTGCGGTGGACCAGCGGGTGTGGGGGCGCGCCTAGGTGCGGGCACGACCGTGCCAGCCACCTGCGCCCTCTCCCGCCTCCGGCCTTTTTGACTACTCTTGGCACCGGGCTCAGGAAGGGGAGGGGGGGTGATCGCGGTAGATGCTGTGCATGTCTGTTACTGCTATGAACTACTCCATGCAAAAGTCCCTTCGCCGGCGTCAACTTGGTATGGAGCACCTCGTGGACATCATCGGTTGCGACTATCAAATTGTCTATGGTGGAAAGCGAGGGCAAGCCGTGCTCTTAGCGACAATTCCAGACTAAGCGCACACAACGTCCAATGTGACTGCGGTGTCGGAATGTGCGAGACAGTGTGAGTATAAGGTCGACATGAGGAATGGTTACCTGGACACCTAGAATTTTCCACAAAGTTTCAGTGGTCAGGTGTGGTTATGTAGCCCCACCTGAAGTAAGCAAAATTTAGTCCCCTGTAATAAGGGACCGGTGTCAATAGGGGGTTTTTACAGGTGGGGTCGAGGAACACACAGAACAAGAGGCCAAGTTATTGTATGCAGAAGAAGAGCTGTTGGGAATGCGCGGTTGTACTTTGGGTGACTAATAAACAGTTGCCCTAACCCCAAACCCTAACCCCAGCAGTATTATGTCCACCAAATGTGGCTACATAACCGCATCTTACCGTTTCAATTGGTAAACCAGAAGTTTCGAAACCACGAGCAAGATGGGGTGGATCGTGGCTATGTGTTTTGACGCTTCAACCTATCCGCCCGCTTATTCACCTGACAAAGTTTGGCAAACGGAAGTCCGTAGCCTTTCGGAGTAAGCGTGGCGTGGATGCAGTGCAAATCCATACACAATGTTGGACACGCCAATATAACGCATCAGTGGTGGTAAACATAGGCAGCAATGTCGACTACTCTATCACATCCGCGCCTCCACTACGCATCGCAGCCTTGCCATGTCAACAGCCATAAATCGTCCATTTCGCAATGAGGAGAATGCCACGATGGTGGAAAACTAAATCAGGATTTGTAGCTGTTAACTGGATCGTATCACGGACTGACGATCAGATGAACAAAAGTTCATCTGGAGCGCGCCACGGTCCCGCTTTAGAGGAGAGTAGGAGGAGTAGTATATTATGTTGAGAAGCCTGGTGGCTGTCACAACCCCCGATGCGGGGCCGGCTATTGGCCGGTGCGCTTGGGTGACGTGGTCGTGAATAAACAAGCGTTACCTCAAAATCAGTAATGTCGGACTGATTACTTGATTGGATGATGGGCGAGCGTGTGGGCGTCTGTGATTGGGATTGGATGCTCTCCTGATCCGGCGCTCGGGAGTCGAGATCACGTGATTCCCAGCGCTGTGTGGATGCCAGAGACAGAAGGCTCAATCTCGTCTGAGGCGCTACAGCCTAAGGACGTTAACGATGTCAGTGAAGATTGGGCAAACCTGCCTAGGGTTCAGCTTGTCTCGAAAAAAGCAGCATCCTCATGGCCTGAAGACGCACGCAGATGTACGCTAACGTTAGGCTCAGAAAATTCTAATTTTCGAAGGGAAGTGAGTAGAATGGCCGCATCTGCTTGGATCGCGGAACACATCCGTGTCATAATGCGTCTCTTTCAAAAAAACTGGCACTGCCTCACACCAAAATGAAAGTGGTGACAAGAATTATGTTGTCCATCGGGAGCGAATGGCCTGTAACCTCTCTGATACACGATGGCCAATATGCGCCCGCTTATCTGATACGTCTATTTCATGGTTTCTTTAATACATCCGTCATTAAACTCCTTTGCATCCCTACGTGCTCATTTGCGTAGCCTTTTCGATTTTTACCACAGGTTTCCATCAAATTCAGTTGTCGGCAGCGCAATTTAAAGTGGAGACGGTCATCATGGAAACATACATTCTATTTCCTGTCAAGCCCTAAGGCGAATTATTAAATACTGCGGTTATGAATGACAGATGGCGACTTCACGTCGAATGCTACTGTGAAACAGACAAAAGTTGGACATACCTACCGAATGTGCAGTAATCAAGCTCAAAGATACAAGTGGCTAATTCCATTCAGCATCTACGGACGAATAATAGCACTTTAGAACAATTAGCATGCATATTCTATTTCGGAACCGACGAGCCGTGGAGGATATCATTTTTCGAATTTCATGCGTCCAATAAAAAAGCACATCAGACAGACAAATATAAAAATATGATTGTAATATTTAAGCGAAAAGTACTTATAATAATGTTCTGTCCTTTTACTCTGGGCCGAAGAGGTAATCAAAGGGTGCAAATAGAACCAAATGCTTTGGAATACCCTTTGGCCGAAATTTGTACATGTGGGGACGTGAATGAAAGTAGCAATCTAACTTCGTCATGACAAGGCCTAACCAGGCATCGTCTATCGGAAACTGCTGGGTGAAGTACATTGCCAGGGCAATCTCCTGCAGGACATCAGCGCCAAATGCAAGAAAAATGCTGGGGGCGTAGGGCGCGAGGATGGGCCAGGGCATTTCTCGTTTGGATAGAGACCACTTGTCATGAAATCCGGGATAAGGGTGGCGAAATACCCTACTGATATTAAATGGCAAGCCCAGAGTCACTCGTCGAAGCTGCGCGTTGGGGAGGGCGTCCAACTCAGTCCTAAGAATGCTCACGTTGAAGGCGTAGTCATCGTCCATGAGGATAAAAATGGGAGGTCGTTTCTGAGAGGTAAAATGAACTCGGCAGAAGCTCGAGGCCCACTGGAAGGTATGAAATAATTTCAGGCTCAGGTTATAGTAGGTGTCCTCGTAGTCGCCCACTACGAGGTCACCGTTGATTCGCGCCTCCTCTGCAAGTTTCCTTAACACCTCCGGCCTCTGGGACTCCATCTTCTCCATGGACTCGCCTGCCCGGTCTGGAAGGGAGATGTTGAAACCGTCTCTTTCAAATGACCGACCGCCGATGCCACGAGGTAGTCCTACGGAGAAGATCATGGCCATGTGGAAGTCGGGTTCACGCTCGGCCTCTGTAGCATAGATCTTTCGAATACGATCACGATCTTCAAAGTTGTAGACGGCTGACTTGACCATCACAATAGCATCCAGGGGCCTTGTGACTGCTTTTCCTGGCACACAGACAGTCGAGCTGACGTTAAGGTATCTGATTGTCTGATTAAATATGGGGGCCTGACAATGGAAAAGGACGCATTCTGTCAAAATTGTGGCAGAACAGTCGAACGAAGTGTGTTTTGCTGAACGGATGTTTTAATAAATTTTCAGAGTCAACACAAACAGTTCCAGTCGGCCAGACATATGCACAGATTTAGTAAAACGTTCATCGAATACAGCAACATGTTGCTGTGATCCAAGCCGCCATGCTCTGCGTTTGCTTTGTTGTAACCTGATTCGAGCTTGTGTGGCAACCACAGACGGACTGTCTAGCCTTATCAGTCGATGCGCTCGATCCCGCATCTGGTCATTATGACCCATATCATGCGCCGCTGGGCGGCTGCCGGTTGAACTCGAGAGAGGGCCCGTAAGGCACAACGGAACGAGTGAGTTCCGTAAGGACGATCGGTGAGCGCCCCCTACCATTGCATATTCCCGATCAAAACCGACAAGGCAACGGGCTCGTGGCCCAGTGGTTAGAGGGGCGGATTTCTTTCTAACAGGTCGCGAGTTCGAGCCTCGTGTGTTCCACACTTCGGGCTGGGGTATGGCTGGCTGACGACGGCTAGTAAGCCAGAAATGGCCATTCCAGTCTCCCTTGTCTTTGTTGATAATGCCATTCTCCCCATGACCCTTTTCCTGACAACTGGCACAGAGCGCTGGCGGAAGTTAGACTGCGACTGATGCAGCGAAGGTCAATTAACACTAAAAAATTAATTCACGCCGCCGCCACTGTTTCTGCGCCCAGCATACTGGAGGGCATGCAGTGGACATCGTCTGGAACGATGGTGTAACGGATTATGCATAAGGTAGCCTAGGGTTTCGAATATGTATGCACCATGGATCGCACTTTCTCTTCACATTGTCACTTCCAGCATGTCTCACCGTCAGATCGACCGAGGATACTCCCATCCGTTTCCTGAAAATTGGAGACCTGCATACCAAGAGGTCTTAATGATGTGCGTAAATTCTGAAACACATTCACAATTAGGAAGGATTACGTAGGTGAAATTGTAATATTGGTCACTGGGCGCATAAATTCCATAATATTTCAGTCACGCGACGATGTTGACTTTCGAATGTATTTCTTTTTAAACTTTCCGTCAAAAGGATCGTTTGTGAAATAAACACTTTTGTTATTTATTTTTGTTACGGGAAAGGAAATTGCCCTAATTGAGCTTACTTGCCCTTATTCTGTAGTTAATCATGTCTTCTTGAGACCTTTTGGCTGAAAGTGTAATTTCACTCGCTTTTAGAAATTTCCAATTATGAGAACTTGAAAGACCTCGAAATGTCCAA